AAAAAAACAACGATATGACATTCAAAGCGTAACGAAATATAGGAAATAAAAGAAAAACAAGTTGAAGTTTAAAGGTTTGGTTCTCATGAGAGCAACGTTATTTTGGCTTCTACCTGTATTTATGTGCCTTGGGTAAATATATCGAAACTTTGAGCTAAGCGATCTATAGTGCCCTCTACAGATCAAAATATTTCGTCTAAATATAGATCCTTCAGAAAGCTCAGCGATACTTTCGGGCATAGGGAGCGAATGTGCTCAAGCTGTAATTAGATTTCTCTCACGTCTTCTGCAGACTGCATCACACTCGGTGAGAATGTGTGGTGGTGTCCCGCTTGTTGAGCCGCAGAACCGGTAAAGATCATTTGACTATATCCGTAGCTTACCCTTAGATATGTCCTATAAGTATGCAGTGTCCCGTAAGGATACATGTTAGTATTCTAAGCTTCTCTTTTTGGAGGTTAATTAAGCTGGAGCCTGTCTGTGGTCCCTGAAGAAGTCTCTCGCAGGTGGTCGCTTAGCTGCATAACTCCATTTTAAACCTCTTCTCAAAGCCTATACTTCTTCCTATGTCACCTCTAGGCAACAGAGCTAGCGGTAGCGTGGACCCCAGCCACAAGAGGATTTGACCTTACCTCTTCCAAATCACTCACTAACCAAGCTCAGCTGAGTTCTTTCGGTGAAAGTGGGACTCTAGGCTTGTTGATATAGCAGCGGTGCTCAAATTCCCGGTGCATCTGCCTTTCTTTATGGAGGTGATTCTCGGGTGACATGAGATGGTAGTCCGTGCCGTACGTAGAGCTCCGTTCTGCCATGCTTTCAGATTTATCCACTGCCTGTTTTTCGTTCGGACCGGCCGGATTTCCTTGTAAGTTGCCAGCAGGGTCTCTTTGTGGGCTCCCCAGGTTCTGCCGGCTAGCGACTTGAGGACTTTGTTACTGGCCCGCACTTTGTTGCAGGTAGCTGAGGCGTGCGCGGAGAAGAACAGTTTATCGAACGGCGCTCCCGGGATTTTTGGGTGATTGGTCGTCGGTATTTTGGCGGTATTGTGGCGCCATCGACGAAGACGTTTAGTTCAACCCTGATCTCCTTGGTCCATGTTGTGAAGAGTGTAGCTGGGGATTTCGCGACGGAGACTTTGAGGTTTCTTGCAGTGAAGAAGTTCCAAAGATCGGTGAGATAGTCGGTTATCTTATCGCAAAGGCTGTCGATGTTTGGGCCCATCACTATTATTGTGCAATTATCGGAGATTAAACAGTGTCGGGTAGAGTACGTCGCCTTGAGGCACCCGCTTTTTAATTTTACATGGCTTGAACTTCGAGTTTTGAAATTCGACTGATGATTGGATGTTATTTAGTTATCCATCGCTTCGTCCGAGCTGAAAGCGGAGTCTTGGCAAAGAGTTGCGTGGTTGACCGTGTCCAATGCCTTCGAAAGGTCAATTTTGGTATCGAACAGAACTTTTATGTAGGACCTCCTACGGTTTGTCATAATGCAGTTGTATTTGGACATTCTTTGCTTAGGAAATGGGGGTTTAGCTGCCTGTTCATACAGATTTTTCAAAGTTCTCTGCAAATTTACCTGCTCCAGCTCCTCCATTTTTAAGTTCTATTCTGTTTATATACCAAACCTCCCCAATAGGCTTGGCATATAGGTTCCCTGTAATCAAGAGAGCTCGATTCGCAATTGATACCTCAAAGTTCCTAAAGAGCTTCGCCCGTATGCAATAGAGGACATTAGAAAGCTTCGTAAAGATCCACCTACCATCCATCATGTTTTCAATTCAGAGCTCTAAATAGCGCGGTGATTGCCTCTCTTGGCAATGTCATCCGCTCTGATCATAGAGAAATCATAGTAGTTCGTCTACTATATGCGGACTATATTAGAGGATGCATCACTCAGATCTGTGGGCATAGTTTCGCTGCTGAGAGGCTGACTCTATCCTATCCAAGAGTAGATTTAAAGGCTCCCGATTGTCTATAAGAGAGTGATCCGTGTTATAGATATCGACAGCAACATACTGCCTCCTCTTGTTCTCCATGGCCTTCTCAACTTTCCCCTCATTGGCGTATTGGTTTCTTCTGTGTAAAGAATTTCCTGTAAGGGAACTAGTTATGCCTGATATAGCTCTCTGCAATTCTTCCCATTGGTTTTTAATAGAAAATATGTAAGACTAATGAGTCGGTATGACTTTGATGCTATAATACTCATAAGACATATCGTTAGCTCAATATAGAAAGTCCCTATTTAACATTTATGCTTCTACACAGAATAGTTAATTGAAAAACCTAACAAAAGTTATAGTTCCTTAGCTGCGATTTCTGTGGATTTTCTGCCAAAAAAGCTACGACTAACCTTAAGAGTCGGCTTCATATTTTTTGTTATTATTTATGCCCCAATATTTTCTATTCAAGATTTCACTTATTTATTAATTTACTAGTTGTTTTTAATTTCTATTAAGTTCTTAGTGGGCAATCTATAGATTTTTTAAATATCTGAAATTTAAAAGAAAATGAGTTACTGCTTTTTTATATTAAGGTACGGTATATCGTCGTTTAAAGTACAAAACCGCGTATCGTCATTCTGCAAAACCGCGTAACTGATATTGGCTGCTAAAAATTGGATTTGCTCACACAAGCTCTTGGCTCAATCTTTATCCATTTGTCCTGAAATATATCAGCCAGAAAAGCGATTTCTTTATAAAACAAGAGAACCATTTTGAAATATGAGTGTTTTTACTCTCTAAAAAATAATTTATGCAACCTCAAATACGCGGTTTTGCATTTTCTTGATACGCGGTTCTACACTTTAAACGACGATATGTATGTGAAATGTACGTACATACATTCGTTTGTTATCACCTGTTTTTTTTTAATTTTTTCGTTGCGAAACTATTATTCTAAATATGCACAATTTTTATTTTTTTTTGTAGAACAAATGCTTTAGCTTTAACGTCACAGTTTTGAAATTCGAGTACCTTCATTGTGGTTAGTTTGGTTAGTAAAATTTGCACACTTGCCGACGCTAAATTAAAGCTAAAATTACATGCATATGTATGGATGTAAATACATACATTAGGGCGTCGGACGACAAAAAGTTATCGCTTCCCTAATGCAAATCATAACCTCTTCAATACCTCCGGGGGATGTCAAAAGATGCCTGTTAAAAGCGCAACCTTTAGTACTAAGTTTAAAAGGTGGCATATCGCGAATTTAATTTTTTTTAAACGACTTTTTTTTGATAGTTGAAAATAACTGTAACTATTTTAACTAAAATGGGAGAAAAAACTGTAATAATTACATAAATTTAATTTAAAGGTTGAATAACCGTTAAACCAGTAGGTTTATCAAAAAAATAAGAGACTTTTGTATAGCGTCTAGTTTCCCACTTCGCACTTTTCAGTTCGACGTTTCAAAGACGATAAAACACATTTCCAAGTTGAAACAAGTTTTTTTATAAGTAATTTATATGGAAAATAGAAATCTGCGGTGCGTGACCTTTTAAACTTAATATTAAGGGTTGCGCTTTCAACAGGCATTTTGTGACACCCCCCGGAGGTATTGAAGTGCTTTTAAAAATAAAAAATTTGTGGATTTTTTTTGAATCAGTCTAATGTAAATGCATATCGCTCGATTGCTGGAAAAACATCCCACTTGTTGTTGTTGTTGTAGCGGCACTACTAAGCCCCACCTTTTTCGGGTCTACGTTCAATCATTTTCGTCAAGCTCAACTAACGGGAGGCCCAGGAAACGAGCTGTTTCAATGGGTTCGGACCAGAGGGAGAGGGGTGTTAGCTGAGTCGGATTGAGCTGGCATGTAAAGAGGTGGTTGGTGTCGTGGGGGGATTCTCCACATGCCGGGCACTCATTGGGGATATTGAGGTCGAGTCTGGACAGGTAGCTGTTGAGGCGGCTACAGTATCCAGACCGTAATTGAGCCAGGGTAACGCGGGTCTGTCTTGGCAGTTGAAGCTCCGTCTCTTCTACAGGTGGTGATTGGGCTCATTCATAGGTCGAGAGTCGAGGTAGGTGGTAACTGACTCTTTATGGATGTCGTTGATGGCTCGTCTGTATGTCGTCGGGTCCAGTGGTTTGTCTACGTACTGTTGGACTGCGTCCTGACGTGCCTGGGCGGAGGCTCCTCCTGAAGCAACGGTCTGTTAGGGTGCTCACTTCTGTGACACCCCACCAGAAATTGCTTACAGAGCATTTTGTTGTGTTCCCTTACGGGGACACTTGGGCCTCGCTGTGCATGTGGTGCTCAGGCGTCATCAGAAGGCACCCAGTCGCTGTCTGGAGTGCGGCGTTCTGACAAGTCTGTAGCTTCGTCCACTGCGTCCAACTAGTCCCCGGAGTCCAAACTGGCGCAGCATAGTTTAGAACCGGCCGGCCAATTGCCTTGTATGTTGCCAGCAACGTTTCTTTGTCTTTGCCCCCCCAAGTGCTGCCGGCGAGCGACTTGAGTACCTTGTTGCGGCTCTGTACTTTATTGACAACGGCGGTTGTGTGCGTGACCCCTAAAATTTTCGGGTTGTTTACAGTCCAATTTTTAACTGACGTCAAAATGTGAGGAGGTTATCAATTCGTCGTAATATATATTTTTTTATCGTTTTTTCTATCTGAATGGGTGTGCTCAGGGGAGGTCTCATACTAATTTGGTTTAGATCCGATCATTGGATCATGAAGAAATTATCGGTACTCCAAAAATGTTATATCAGAATTGAAGTCCGTTGTGTTTTTTGCTTAAAAATTACTTCTTTTAACTAAGTATGAAGAAATATATGTATGTATTTAATAAATGAATATCTTTCAATTGGGCCACATACGGGAATTAGCATTTCTTTTTTGCAAGTTTATCGTCTTTTTCACTTTGAAAATACTATAAAACAAGGCTAAATTTTGAGCCCTTTTCTGAGAAGGCCTATTTTTAAGCTATCTCATATGAATCTTTATTATTTGTTGCGAAGTCGACTTTCATACTCTTTCATGTTTGTTTCATTACAGCCGGAATACTATAAAGACGCACCACATTTCCGACCGGTGGGCGACGGACCAGAATACAGGCTGGAAATACCCAGTGCCAAGCTGGACTTCACTGGCACTTACTCGGTTATTGCGAGCAATTGTCATGGTGAGGCAAAGGCCGTAATATCATTGCAAATTTTCGCTAAAGGTAAGTACATACAAGCTCTCCTTTACTATGTATACAAAGATACATACCTACATATCTACGAAGTAAATTTCTAATTTTTAGCCATTAGCAATAAGTGGTTTTATTAAATGTTTGTTTTACGTTCGACAAGATTACTTAATGTGCGCGTTAACTAATCTAATTACTTAAACATTACTTTACGGACTACTTAAGTAGATTTTAACCAAGCGTGGAAAAACCACATCCTTCCAAAAATCCTCAGCTGCGCCAAGCAGGCTGGCTACAAATTCCATATCGGCTTGCACCCAGACGTAGTGTAGAGCACCGTTGGTATCGAAGGTGGGACTAAGCACACAATAAAGCGCTTTTGTCACATTCGCCATATACATTTGGATTTGTATTTGTGCCATGTATTTAGGCGCAATAGTTTCACGGCCTTCGAGGTACTTTTCGAATTCCTCATCGGTTTTTGGTGCTTTTATTTCGACGATGTGGTCATCGGTGATACCATCGGGCGATGCACAAATGTATGGATAGCTTTCGTTCAACAATAAACCGCATTCACTGTACGTTTTATTCTCTAGTTTTTCAGTCTGCTTCAATATAAAGCGTTTATGCTGCTTTAATTGCTGCTTTTCCTCAGCATTGTATTCACGCTCCTTGCAGAATAACAGATCTATAATGTTTTCATCCTCTAGAGAATCCTTGCGCGATGCAACCCGATGTATGAGTGAACAGCGTAATCGCATGTATTGAGTTTCTAACCAAATGGGAGTCTTATAACTTGTTTTCGAAACTTCTGCAAGTCGTTCAAAGAGTCCCTCTTTAGCTTGATCTTCCATGTGTTGCACAAATGAACGAGAATCCTTCACACCATTATTGGATGCATCCAACATTATGTGATGTATGAAAAGTGGTTCGAACTCGTCCAATACAGATCTACAGTGGCGGTACAGCGCTGAATCTCTTAAACCTAAATTCTCCATTTCATCAAGTACAGTATCGAAGAACGCTTGCCCTTCTGGCTCACTAACAGCAGCTGCCTCTAGATCGGCTTCCAAACGTAGTTCATCACAGGCGAATATGTCGCGAATACGTAGCGCCTCAACACGTTCCTCTTCAGCTAGCGCTTCTATTTCACTACCCCAATAGTCTCGTATGGCCGGCGCATCGGTATCTGTACTTTTACGATGTAGCCAGAAGATGAATGCGAGTATATGTGGACAGGATTCTACATAATGTTGCAGAAATGACATCAGTACAAGTAACATTCTTGGAATCTCAGTGTTAACATACCCTTTTTGGTGCATTGATCACATTTCGTCTCAGATATCTCGTCCTTTTTCTCATCCACCTTCAGATCTACATTTATGTGTGCCTCATGGTTACCGCCAGTAGCTGCGGGAAATACCACCGCGCGCAAATCGAATACATCGCCAGCTCTTCTGACTTGTACAAAATCTACGCGTAAATCCACATTATTGCTATTACTAGAATTTGTTTAAGATACATTGATGTAGTACATTTTATGGAATTAGCTCAATTTAATGATAAAAGTACCTGCTGGCAGGCTGCTGCTTCTTCCCGCCACCGCCGCTGGTGGCAATCTTTGTGACGAAACCGAAAATCGTCTCGCTGCGCACCATCGGGATATTATTAATGTCCGCTTTGCGATACCCCGGCTCCAAATCCATATGCATCACAATCATTTTGTGCCAAATAATTATTGGCAGCGGCGGTAGCTATTAAAATTGTTGAAAAATCTGTGCGGACAATGGAAATGATAAAATAGAAGCTAAAATTAGATAAATGCTTGCAATGCTGCCAGATGTTGGCGGAAATGTGTGTGTGCAAAAAGTTGTTGTAGGACCTGTATGGTTACCAGGCTATTGAGTTTTCTTTTTGATTTTTAATTAAAATTTTTTCTTGAAATTAACAACACAGCTTGAATGTGCATTTATTCAGCTGGCAAATTATAATTCATTTTTTTGTTTGAATGTAGGCTTTTGTATAGATATTTTTATTTAGTTGCAAGTTAGTTGTAAAATTGTTGGTTGTGTTAGCTGATTGAAACAGCGTGGCAGTATTATGCACAATTCACGCGAGATGGCGCTCGTGATGACAGAAACCGAATTATTGCGCCTAACTGTATGCTATGATAATTGCAATTTAAATTGTTTTATTGACATTTCCTTCTTCCGTCGACGGTTGTGTGTTTGTTTCATTTCCCACATGAAGTGTTCATTAATCTGTTAATTTATTTAAATTTTGTTATACAAATTAATTCAACCACGGCGTTGTTCCAATGAAATTAAACATTTATTTGCCAGTTTAATGAATTAATAGATTCGTTAGTTTTGAAGAGTGAATTTATGTGTATTAGTTTATTTGATATATGCTCCTTAACTGAGAGCATTTGGACCTCGGTGATGCCACATCAAAAGGCATCCCACAGCTGTTCGGAGCGCTTTATAATGGCATGTATTTACGCGTTCTGCTTATCTCCAGCGTTTAAACTGGCACGTTTGTGTGCCTTTTTCCCAATTGCCGCCGAGCGATTTGAATACTGTGCTGCGGCTCTGTACTTTGTTGACGATTGCGGCTGTGTGGCGGACAAGGAAAACTTGCTATGAAAGGAAACCACAAAAACTTTCGGTTTTTTTCAAGGCTGGAAATGTAGTGCTATCGACCTGTATCGAATACAATATGTCCCGCTTCCAACTTTTAGACCCCTTTAAAGTCATCTATGTGTATGGCTATATAGCTTTCTTGTTGCCCCAAAATCGATTATCCCACCCACGGGGGTGTTTTAATGTGGTGCATATGTATGTATAACACCCCCGTGGGTCCGCCACTGACGTAGTTTAACCCCCAAAACCCCCCCGTTGGATCCGCCACTGAAATGAACGGTAAAGAAGGTTTCGCTAGATTTATATTGTTGTAGGGAGACCATAGCCAAGCATTGGAGCCTCTGGAGAAAGGTGGTATACACGTTATTAAAAAAATGTCTGAAAGTGTGATCCAACAGCCCATAATATAACATAAAGAGCTTCTTAACTTTTTGGTTTTTTTCTTTTTATAATTCTCTTTCTTTAATTCTCAAATCTTTTTCAGATATACTAAATAATTTATCAATGGAGAAGGGTTCTATACGTCACGGGTAAGCTTCTCCTATTGAATTCCAATCAAGTTTCTTCCAACAGATTACTTTAAACAATTTCAGCAACGTTGAAACCTTCCCGCGCTTCATTCGCCACCTCCGAGACTTGCGCTGCTGCGATGGCGACGCCATCACTTTGGAATGCCATGTTGAAGCATTCCCAGAACCGGTAATCATTTGGGAGAAAGATGGCCGCGTGCTGCCGAGCGGCAAAGACTTGACAATGTCCTACGATGGTATCAAGGCCACCCTTAGCATACCGCGCATTTATCCAGAAGACGAGGGCGAATATACCTGCGTCGCTAAGAACAATCTCGGACGCACACTTTCCTCCGCCTGCATTATTGTCGACGTGCCCGAAGAAAAAGAGAACATGCTGAATCGTCAGCTATCACGTCCCAGTGGTTTGCTGTCAGCCAGCTCAACTCCACGTTCAACGCCACGTTCCACACCCAATCGTTGCTTCTCACCGCGTCGCCTCTCCTATCGTTCGTCACAAATCGATCTGAGCGACGGACGTATCGGCAGCTATCGACGCGCAATGTTGGATTCGCATTGCGTAGCTGCGCCGAAATTCCTTGCCATTCCCCACAGCCGTGTCGTCGAAGAGGGCGATAGCGTGCGCTTCCAATGCGCAATAGCTGGTCATCCCACACCCTGGTCCACCTGGGACAAAGAGGGTATCATCGTTACGCCTACTGCGCGAATAGCTGTGAAAGAGGTGGATGATTTGCGTTTTCTGGAAATTGATGAGGTCACATTCGATGATGCCGGCTTGTACCGCATTACTTTGGAGAATGATTACGGACGTATTGAGGCTACAGCACGCCTCGATGTGATTGGTCGTTCGCGTTACTCACGTTCACCTTCTGCGCGCAGCGTACGTGCATCCTCATCACGACGCAATGCACACATACATCGACGCATTATGGGACCATCGACGGCGATCGGTGGCCGCATGGCCTTGGCTACCGGCTATCGTGGATCCTCTGTGCCATCCTGTAAGTTCTATCACAATGGTTATGAACTGGAGGAGGATGATGAGCGCGTGCAAATCGTAGTGAACGAACATGAAGCGCTGCTATGTATTGACAATGTGACCGAAGCCGATGAGGGCCTGTACACATGCATTTTGCAGGGTGAACACGAGCCGCTGCTCACCAGCACCTGGGTGCAGTTCCAGTCAACGGAGGATGAAGCATTGGCTGCGCGCCTAAGAGAACCACGCATTTCCCGTTCACTTCCCACGCAATTGCAGGCATACGAACGCGATACTGTAGATTTATGCCTAGAATTAGAGTGCGCAGAGCCATATAGCTACACCTGGACGCGCAACGGTGAGTTGCTACCCGACGATGAGGACTTCAAGTGAGTACCCATTTAGTTTTCCGAGTATCATGGAGTCCTACTATGTATCTCCTCTCTCCAATGCAGTCAAATCGATCACGGCAATGGCATACTCTGTCTGCGCATAAACGACGCTTTCGATTTAGATTCCGGCGAGTATGTCTGTGAGGTGCGTACTGCTGCTGGTCTAACTTGCAGCACTGCTTGTCAGCTTAACATTATCGAAGCCGAAGAGGAGCGTTTGTCTGCCTTAGCGCAGCATGAATGTCAGCCGATATTGCTGAAATCACCGCTGCCTCTACTGACGAATGTTGGTGCTGCTGAAGTAGCATTTTGCGCGCGCGTTTACCCACCAGAAGCCAATGTACAGTGGTTTGTCGGTGGTCGCGAAATAGTAGAAGAGAATGAGGATGAAGCCAGCGAGCATGAGTCATTCGACGATGATGACGACGACGAGGACAACGACGGCGCAGTGATAAAGGTAAGTGATGGAGGAGGGGTAAGCTATTTTCTACAGATTAATTTTTGGAGGAAAATTCCGCATGCGATAGTGACTAATATTTAATTAGTAAATGTATTTTTAAACTTAAGCGGAGCAAAGTGTTCGTATGTACTTACATATGTGTGCAAGAGTAAGAATACGCATACACTTTAGGCAAATCCACAAGTACCAAATTCGGGCGCTTTTAGCGCATTAAGAATTAAAATTTTTAACTGTACAAGAAAAAGTGGACATAGTATATACGTGTCTTCCTTTTTCAATTCAGTAGCACTAACTTATATTGTATAACCACATTACAAAGGCATAATGTTTTATATTTCTTTAGTATCAATATTATATGTTTACTTTAAAAATAACCAAGAAATATGTCTCGTTTGTGAATCACCAAAATTTTGACCCAGCTTTTGTAAGACCCAAGATGTATGTTCAGTTTTTAAATGACTAAAAAGGAATACCCAATTTTCGATGATCGAAATTACATTAGTCCAATTTTAGAAAGTCCAAAAATGTCCAATAATTATGTCCTAACATTTATGTCCAGTTTTTAGATGACCAAAATTTATGCCTAGTTTTCAAAGTAACGAAAACATTATGTACGTATGTATGTATATCAAATTTGTCTCGTTTTCAAATGAACAAAAATTAATGAACGGTTTTTAAATAACCAAGTTTTTTCAAAGTTTTAAATACCAAAAATTAATTTACATTTTGTAAATTGCCAAAAAAATTTATGTCAAGTTTTTGAAATAACCAACAACAAAAGCCTATTTTTAAAAGGCCAAGAAATATATGCTGAGATTTTAAGTGACTAAAAATTTATGCGCCATTCAAAAAATTACGAAAAAATTTATGTACACACATATGCCAAGTTTTTATCTCCAGAACAAAAATGTATCTCGTTTGAAAATTACTAAAAATGCATGCCCCATTTTTAAATGAGCAGGTTTTGTCCGGTATTAAATATCAAAAATTAATGGCCAGTTTTTAAATTGCCAAAAATATTAGTGCAATTCCAAAAGACCTAAGATTTATGTCCATATTTTAAATGACCTAAAATTCCCAAAAATGTACGCCCAATTTTTAAATGTCGACAAATTTATGTCCACGTTTTTAATGCATCAAAAATGTATGCCCAGCTTTTGGATGACTAAAAATTTAAGCCCAGTTTCTAAGAAGCAAATTATTATATTCAGTTATATAATGACTAAAAATTAATGTCCAGTTTTTTTTTTTAATGAGTAAACATTTATGTCCAGTTTTTATGTGAACATAAATTCATGCCCAGTTTTATATGATCCAAAAGTTTTATGCTCCAAGGTCCAATAATATATGTTCAGTTTTAAAAATCAAAAAATTTATGTTCAGCTATTACTTTCAACCGTTCAGATAACTTAACCGAAATGTGAAATCTGGAATGCATATTAAAATATCGCTATTAAATGCCTATAATTTCTTACCACATACATAAAGATGTATGTATGTATGTACATATCTTCTATAAGCAGGACTTTTATACGCAAATTCATTAATCTAGGTCAAGGTTGCATCAGAGCTCAGAACCATATGTTGCCATGCAAATGACTGCCTGCTTTCTTTCTCGGCAAGCCTTTCAAATTTTGATTTCAACAAACATATCGCACATTGTTCGAAGCAAGTGCAGCTGTGAAACTTTTTGCAAGCAATTGACTACAAGTACATATGTACATAGTCACGACTGACCAATCAATGTATTGCTTAGAGAATGAACAAATGGGAAATCTCGTGGGCATGTACATACATAACTTCGCATGACCATGCAATTTTGACCCTCCAACAGTAGGTTTATTGCGAATATTTGCCGGATATTTTTGTATCATTTGTTTTTTTTCGAGAATTTGATTTTGACTTTTTGGAGAACATTTGCGAACACTGAAACAATACATAGTTGAGGTAAATTTAGTGCAATGGGGCTCTGGAAAACTCCTTCTGAATCTGCTACTTTGTATGCAGGGAAATGGTTTTTGTAACACTGTGCAGCAATTTTAGGGCTGAGAGCGCCAACCAAGTTATGTTCCAATGGTAGAGTCAATAATTGATTTAGGAGGATTCTTTTCCACCTCATCACAATTTTTTACTGTGGGTAAGAGTATTCACTTGTTGGCCATAAATTTAATTATACAAGATTGAGTAAATTTAAAGAGTTCACACTGAATATTTAAATTTCGATGCATTTTTTATTTGATAAAAAGTTCGCACTTTGCCATTATATGTTTGGAAAACAATACCGTTTAAATCTCCTCCGCGGAACCGTTTGCAGGATTGAGCTAATTTTTGATAATTATTCACACAACCCGAGCAATAAATTGACAGTCAGTTTGACGGCGGTCACTTGCCAATGCCATAAATATATTTTTTGCGATTAAATTTAACAGAAACAAATTACTTAGATCAAACCCAATCTTATCAATACTTTGAAAGACCTTCCACATAAACAACGCGCTTACCGTTTGTCTTAAGGTCCCATCGATTTTGAAACTACTTCAGAATAAGTATCAAAATACTCATTCTGCTGGGAGTTAAGAGGTTGAAATGTTCAAAGAAGAAAATTATCACTATATTTTACTACAGATCTCTGAAAACCAGAGTTATCCATATAAAAATGCAAGTTAAGACTTAACTCCACTGCAAAAATTGTGATAGGTTGAAGTACATTTTTCTCAGAGTTTGATTACAACACTTGGACGGTAACGTGATCACAGTTTGGTTGAGACCCTAAAATAGTTCATCCACTGTGCGATTGGTGGTACACATGCACATTAGACCGCACCCTCTTACAAGCAAAGAAAAAAAGTTCGGAGTGTTTGAGGTCCATGAACTTTAGAGCCACAAACATCGATATAACATAATTCAAGGTCTTACTGTAAATGCCGAAGATATGACAAATAAATTATAAAGGCGAAGCCTATGTTCGCTGAAACAAAAAATTTCGAAAGTTTCTTGCAAAAATACTTTAGAGTCATGGATGTAAGACGAACTTTTTTTCTGGTACGGTATAATGTACATACATACATACATATATGCATGTATTTTAAAATGAATAATACATTTTTACAAATAAAAAATTATTTTTATAAACGAGTATGTAATTGCTATCGATTGTTCACATGCGTGCGAAGGTGTTTTGTTTTTATTTTTGTATATTTTTTAATGTGTTGTGGTTACAGCTAACTGACCGCTTGTCAAAAAAAAAGAAAAACAACAACAAGACATACATACATTAGTCAGCTCTAAATATGTTAATGAATAAATAAAATAACAATAAAGATTGCGAAATAAAAACATTAAAAGAATTGACATTCATTGTGTCAGCGATGATGGCTAGCTGGTGGCAGCACAGCAGCAACAACAGCAACAACAGCAAACAAGTAGGGCAACAACGACAATGAAAGTGGAGTAGTGGTTAAAATATGAGGGCAGTTTGATAAATCAGTTACTTTTTTAATAGAAAGGATTTCGCCTTTTAGTTCGATACATTGTACCCAGTATTGTTCCCATTTAATTTTTGGTATACCTTGCAAAAAAATGGAATTTCTCAAGGCCCTAGTTAGACACTTGTTTCACTGATAACATCTGGATTCAACCAAAATCTTTTACCGCGGAACCATTTCTTGAGATTAGAAATCAGCAAATAGCCGAAGGGGGCCCCCTATATGCTAGATAGGGCAGGAATCGTAGCCCAAATTGTAAAAAGTAAACAGAATTAATTTTTTTTCATTTTCGCCGAAATTTCCAAAGCTTCGCTGTAAAGTACGAACTAAATTACGCAGTGCCCCAGTAAGACATGGTTTTTTGGGCAGGAACAGTGTTGGTTTTAAAGTTACTGCGTGTAAATTCAAAAAGTCACTGACTTATCAAGCAGTCCTCGAAAGTAAAAAAATTGCAAAAAAGCGCGAATCACAAAAATTTGTGCTTCGTTTCATTTTTTATTTTTTTAACTTCAAATCGTCACAACAATACGTCGCACAGTGGTATGAGGATGGCGGAAAATTCAAGTTTCGAAATTCCTCCAAACATCCAATTAAGTGGTTGGTTATATTCTAGACATTACTACTAACACGTTTTAAGATTTTTTCTGAGAAAAGAGGCAATAATAGTATTTAAAGGGTACAGGGAGTGTTGTAAATATGAGTCGTATTTCTACGCAAGAATTCGGATAAACATTTCAAGGACTTAAAATTTGTAGTTGCATGATTGATTGGCGCTGAATTCGCCTTTGCTTTTAATGCCAAGGGTTGCACTTTGAGAGGTTTTCATCTTTTCTCTTAGTCCCTTCAGAGTTGAGAAAATTTATATGATTTCACGGATTTTCTATGGCTTTATGTAGAGTTTAAGTACCTTGCGGCGCCGTGCCGAGAAAGGTGACTGGTATAAGAATATTCTGTATACTCTAAGCTAATAGAAAAATAAATTTTAGCCACGTTCGCCTGCGTCCCTTTTATTAATTTTACATATACTGAATGCCCTTGTGTCTCTATATAAGCTTCGACAAAAAAAGTAATCGTCATCCGATTTTTTTGACATTTTCTATGCAGTACTTTTGTGTAGGAATAAGGCAGTATCCAAATGATATTTATATGTACGTCGGCGAACTTCCATGCCCACTATGGGCAGATAATATCCAGTTCTAATAAAATTTGGTTTTTATGTTAATTTCTGTATGGTTGGTGGGCGCTGTAGTCGGCCGACTTTGACCATCTTTCTGATGTAAGTTTTTATCGTTAAAACTAAAATATAAACCGAATTTCATTAAAATCGGTTAACATTTACCATTTCCGCCCCTCTTGAAGTGGGTGTGGCAGTTTTAAAATCTATGCCATTTCTTATACATATCGTCGCCTGGGTAAAAGATTGTCGTATGTTGATTTCGGCAGGTTGTGGGAAATCGCGATTGAAGTTTAGAATGTAATTTCTCAAAAACGCGAAGATAGATATTCTCCAAA